CACACGCTCTCTGCCTCTCTCTTTGGTTTGACAGCGGAGAATCCGGTGCAGGGAAGACTGTGAACACAAAGCGTGTCATCCAGTACTTTGCAACAATTGCAGCGAGTGGGGAGAAGAAGAAGGAAGAGCAGCAGCCGGCAGGCAAAATGCAGGTGAGCTCTTAGGGGTAGGTAGGAATGTGCAGCTGTCTCATTTGTTTATGAGCTGTATCGTGACAATAAGATTTCCATCTTAGGGGACACTTGAGGATCAAATCATCAGTGCCAACCCACTGCTGGAGGCCTTTGGTAATGCCAAGACGGTGAGGAACGACAACTCCTCACGCTTTGTAAGTTGTTGCCTGGGACGAAATTACTTTTTTCCTGTCAGCACACTGACTCGAATAGTCCTGCAGTCAGGATTGGTAAAATAGATCTCGATTAACTTTTCCGTTTCTTTCAGGGTAAATTCATCAGAATCCACTTTGGTGCCACGGGAAAACTGGCTTCTGCTGACATTGAAACATGTAAGTGGCCCTCCTGGCCTGATCCCTTTCGCTCCAGACTTCCTCAGTGCTTGTGCTAATTGTGTCCCACCATCCTTGCCAGATCTGCTGGAGAAGTCCAGAGTCACTTTCCAGCTCAAGGCAGAAAGAAGCTACCACATATTTTATCAGATCATGTCCAACAAGAAGCCAGAGCTGATTGGTAGGAAAGATCACTAACTTCTCCAGACAAAGGTCGCAAACAACACTTAATTCCTTTACGTGCCAATTGCATTTGATCTGTATGCGTTTCGTCCTTCTTTTCAGAGATGTTACTGATCACCACCAACCCGTATGACTATCAGTATGTGAGTCAAGGTGAGATCACAGTTCCCAGCATTAACGACCAGGAAGAGCTGATGGCCACGGACGTAAGTAACGCACAGAAGTTTCCTTAGGCAGACTCTGACCTTTAACAGGCATGGTGCTTACTCTAATGCTTCTTTTGTTAGAGTGCCATTGACATCCTGGGCTTCACTCCTGAGGAGAAGACAGCCATTTACAAGCTGACAGGGGCTGTCATGCACTACGGGAACCTGAAGTTCAAGCAGAAGCAGCGTGAGGAGCAGGCAGAGCCAGACGGCACAGAAGGTACCAGCACGATATATGCCGGAGCACAGTGTATACCGGAACGCTCGCTAATACAGGCGGTAATCCCGGCTCAGAACCATTGACTCAGCCTGCGCCTTTCCCCAGGTGCTAGTGTTGTAGAATAGAAGCGTGTCCTAACCAGAGGACTTTTTGCTGGAAGAACACAACTCAGTGGAAGGGGCAGGTTATTTGGAACCATGCCAAGCATAAGGTCCAGTGAATCCTAAAGCACCCTTCCTTTGGCTGACACAGTAGGAGTCAGGCAGAAGAAAAGCAGCCTTTACTGCTATACTGAATGGCAGCTTCCCAGCCCTGGCCCACAGCTGGGAGCCACTCTGCTCACTGACTTCAGTTTATGTACCCAGGTAGCTGCTATCATTTACCATCATCTCCTAAGGGTATTGTTTCCAGGTGACAGGAAGCCAGACTCCTGAAGCTGCTCTGCTTCAAAGGCCGTATTCTGGAGACAACTCGCAATGGCTGAACGGAGAGCACTGCGCTACTTCAGTTTACGTGGGGGGTTAAAATGGAACATCAGTTAGTACTGCAGCTGTGGCTCATATGTTCTCCGTTTTTCTGTAGAGTCTCAGCATGTCTCCAGGACTTCTGTTTGAAAAATAGACATCTAAGATACGTTTCCCGCGTTTGCTTTGCCTAGAATTGTTCAAAGGTGCATTCCTTTGAATGTTCATGGAAGTATTTCTATGAAACCAGAGTTATTTGCATATATCATAAACATGTTCTCTTAAGGGTTTTTTTTTACTTGAGTTGTTTTTGTGTGTGTGTGGTTTCGGGGTTTTTTAGGAAAGTTAAGACATAAATGAAGATGACTGCAAGGAATACAACAGCAATGAAGCTGATAACGATGAACTGTAATAGCAGAATTAGCTACAAGTAATATCTGTAATCATTGCATGAATATAACCAAAGAAAAGAGTTATAGAAGAGTATAATAGAATTAGATGACTATTTAATTATTAAAAATAATTCTACAAAAGTGAAATAAAATGTGAGTTCCAATTTTGTTCTTGTTTCATACCTTACTCTCTCTAGTGATAAATGTACATTAAATACTTAATTGTAAATAACACTTACAATAGAAGTAGCTCAAAATTAGCATCTGTATATATATACGTTCTATAATGAGGCTTGGTCTTCTCACATTAAAGGACTCTTTAAATAGTACTGGTGCCCACTCTCATCTTCGCTGTGAGAAGAGACAGGCAGCAAAATGGAAAGTGATGATAGAGTATATCCAGTCCTCTAAATCTTGTACTTAGAAGTCTAGATTCAGAGAAAATGGGATCTGGAAAAGACCTACGTGTGTGATATTTATCCTTAGGGAGAATGTGGTCCCACTATGAAAGTTGTATGAGATATCTTATTCATACTTTTGGCATAATACTTCACTAATCTATCTCTCTCTCTAATGACAGTGGAGTTTCACTGACTACGGTTTTCAGTACAGTGTATTTCAATATCAACCAGTTTCCTTTTCTTTCACAGTTCAGAAATTGTGACGTGTTAGACCTGCCATTTTCATGGCCCTTTGCCCTTTTTTCTGTCTAGTCATTTGTTTCAAAATTTGCATGTTCATTATAAGGCATTTGGAAGAATCTTTACATTTACAAATCATCTAAATTAAGTGGGAAAAATATCAGTAAATCCACACAACTTACAGTATTTTAAAGTATGTGACTTAAAGTATATGTGGCTTCTGCAGAAATGATTCTGAATTGCTACAAGATATGTCTGCTGGAGAGCCAATATTTGATCCTGCTGTATGCTTGTTTCCTTAGTTGCTGACAAGGCTGCCTACCTGATGGGTCTGAACTCAGCAGATCTGCTCAAGGCCCTCTGCTACCCCCGAGTCAAGGTTGGGAATGAATATGTGACCAAAGGTCAAACTGTGCAGCAGGTAAGAAACAAGTGATGATAGAAAAGAAATGACATGAATTAAAAAATTTGATCTTCCTGTTTTGCCCTGGATGGTGACTTTTATTTTTCTTCAGGTATACAATTCAGTGGGTGCCCTGGCAAAGGCTGTCTTTGAGAAGATGTTCCTGTGGATGGTTGTTCGCATCAACCAACAGCTGGATACAAAGCAGCCCAGACAGTACTTCATCGGTGTCCTGGACATTGCTGGCTTTGAGATCTTTGATGTAAGAGCAGGATCTTCATACAAGTTTCCTGGAAGGGGCATTAAGAAACTGGAATAGTTTGGGGTTTGTTTTTTTTTAAATTATGGAATATTTTTGTTTATTGGATAATCCTCACGTTCCTGTAGGAATGGCACTCTTCTGGTTCTCACAGTATGTATTATCCCACAAGGGCTGGAGGTTTTTATAGATGTCTGTTGTTGCAAGCAGAAGTGAAAATTGCATTGAAAACTGATATGAAAATGTTGAACAACTGATGGGTAATAGCAGAGGCAGATTTTTGAGGAAGTTAAAATATGCCATCTTGAAGGAAGATTTTGTTAATGCTGAAGCCAGATTCCCTCTGAATGCTTGGGAATAGACTGATAGTGTAGACAAATTCAAGTAGATGAAAAGCTGGACTTGGACTAAGCTCCTCAACTCTTTTCAGAGCTCAGAAATAAGTTGACACAGTGCCAGGGCCTGAAAGGGTAGATATATTAGAGAATGGAATATGCCAGTCACTTGTCCAATCATGGAGACCTTAATGGGTTGAAAATATAACCTATTGGAAGATGGAAAGCGTTCCTGGAACTGAACTTCACAAGTCAGTAAATTTGTTTGCATTCTGCAGTTCAACAGCCTGGAGCAGCTGTGCATCAACTTCACCAATGAGAAACTGCAACAGTTCTTCAACCACCACATGTTCGTGCTGGAGCAGGAGGAGTACAAGAAGGAGGGAATTGAATGGGAGTTCATTGACTTTGGGATGGACCTGGCTGCCTGCATTGAGCTGATTGAGAAGGTTCTTGGGCCCTACACTTAATATTTTTCCAGATGTAAAACATAAAAGGAATCTTCTATGCTCAAATTAGACCACTCTGATGTGTGGCAATCATACTGAATGCAGCACATAAAGTGATTTTTTTCTAGGCTCCGAGCATTTCATATACATTTTCACTTGTCTGTTACTTCACTGCCTGTGGGATTCTGTTGCATAGTACTTATGATTTACATGGGGCAAAAATTTCAGTCCTAGTCACTGTTCTGGAGTTTATACTCAAATGCGTGTATTTTTTTAATGCATGCTGAGTGAGTAAATACACTCTTTTAATATGTTTTAAGAAATTTCCAATCTTGTTTCAAAGAAAAAACATTTAGGAAGTGTAAACTTTTCCTTACATCTGAATGATACTAATTTCATTCATTTTGCTTTCCATCTTCAACTAACATGCACATAGTGAATTTCTACATGCTAGATCTTTATTACATTGCAACCCTGAAACTTATGGGTGAGCTTGTTCTCATATAACTGACGGCATATCCACTAACAAAATGCCCTTTCTTGAAAAACATAAGATTACACATTCTGAGGAAGGTTTTTTGCATAATTTTTATCTTCCATTCCTCTCCCATATACATTGTCTCTATTTCTTTCTACACTTTCTTTCTTTATGTGTTGCTATTTCTTCCAGCCCATGGGCATTTTCTCCATCCTGGAAGAGGAGTGCATGTTCCCCAAGGCAACTGACACCTCTTTCAAGAACAAGCTCTATGACCAGCATCTGGGCAAGTCCAACAACTTCCAGAAGCCTAAACCTGGAAAAGGCAAGGCTGAGGCACACTTCTCCCTGGTGCACTATGCTGGCACGGTGGACTACAACATCACTGGCTGGCTTGAGAAGAATAAGGATCCCTTGAATGAAACTGTTGTGGGACTGTACCAGAAATCATCCCTGAAGACACTGGCCTTACTCTTTGCCTCTGTTGGTGGGGCAGAATCAGGTGATTTCTTTGCAATCAGTTCTACTATAATTTACAGAAAAGAAATTTTGCAATAGTATTTGCTTTTCAAGAATTGAAAACCCAAAGCCTCATCTACTTTTTGGAACTCAGTCACTCAGATTAATAAAAGATGTTACATTTCCATAGAGACCTTAATAGATCTGTAGGTTGTAAGACCAAACAGCTGTACTACAACATTAACACAGGCTAGCTGACAAACCAGATTTCTGCAGCCTAGGCCATTCCCAAATACTTCGGGGAATACAATCATATGTATCAACATGCTGCTAAATTTATTCATACCCTTAGATGTAGAGGTACATAAAGACTGCATTTGATATATTCACTAGTGATTTATCTAATTTGTTAAATATCTTACTATGCAAAAAGTTACATTTTATTTCCTTTTTGCGTTTTCTTAACTTCAGCTTGGAGTCATTAGATTTCATTCTGCTATCATCTGAAAAAGTCAAGTGTCCCATTGTAACTTTAAACACTGTATGCATTTGCAAATTTTGATCATATTATTATATTTTCTATTTTTTTAAGATGAACATACAAAATTCTTCAGATTCTAACTGCATGCTTTTGTTGTTCGTTTGTTTTTTTAAAAAATGTTTTTGTTTAGAGAGTAGTGGTGGTGGCAAGAAGGGCGGCAAGAAGAAGGGTTCTTCTTTCCAGACCGTCTCAGCTCTTTTCCGGGTACTGTAGAATAATCATTATAAATTTTACCGCATTGTGAAAAAAACATAGAAAATTCAGTTCAGAAAAACTTTAGATTGATCTAATGTACAAAATCTTTGTGTTCAGAAAGGATAAAGGCACGTACTTCTTAATAAAGGATTCTCACTGAATCCTTGGAAGTATTCTTTCAGAACTACCCAAAAGTTCTTTAAAAAAAAATACTGATCATGGTTTTGTTGCAGTGTTTTCACTCCATCTAATATTGAGATTGTGTAAGTGACATTTTTAAACCCAAGTCTTTGCTCTTGCTCTTCAGGAAAATTTAAACAAGCTGATGAGCAATCTGCGAAGCACACATCCCCATTTTGTGCGATGCCTTATTCCTAATGAAACAAAAACACCTGGTAAGTTGTAAAAGTTCAAAGATGTGATAAATCTGTTCTTCTCTGTGCAGTACAATGAAGTACCAATTCATTATGTCATTTATTAGGTGCCATGGAACATGAGCTGGTGCTGCATCAGCTGCGGTGTAACGGCGTGCTGGAAGGGATTAGAATTTGCAGGAAAGGATTCCCCAGCAGAATACTCTATGCAGACTTTAAACAGAGGTCAGATTCCATGTCATCCACCCTCCACCATATTCACCAATGCTGAATAACTTGCATTTCCTAATTGTTTTAACTACTATGGGAGTTATGGCAGGGGTTCATTGTACCTACCTTTAGGCATAAAAAAGTCAATTGTCTAAGTTAGTCATCCAGTTTCTTTCTATAGCTAACTAGAAGAACAGGCATTTTCAAAGGGCAATTACTTATTCCCATCCTTGATTCATATTCTGGTATGAGATAAAGCATTTTTTAATTAACTATCCAGAAATGAAGTTGACTAGCTTAGACTTAGTTAACTCCTGGGTAGCAAAGATGACTTGCAGCCACCAGCACAGAAATATGAATAAACTACAAGATATTCTAGACTAACTTGCTTCTTGTTCTATATCAGCTGGAAAATACTCAGACAGTATGTACTGCCACTATTTTGGACAAAGAATTACTTCTCTCCACATATTTTGTTCTTGCACACAAAGTTCTCATTTGGAGATAAGGCATTAGATAAAAGGGCATGTGAAATATGTCAGCAGTTACCCATGGAAATCAGTATCCATTTTGTGTCAAGAATTTCTGGACTAAGAAAAGTGCAAGGTTTTTCCTAAAAACATATTTACCCATGAAAATGTGATTTCTAAGCTATGGAACAGAGTTCAGACTTACACAACTGTCTTCCACTCTTGATCCACCTTCAGAGAATCTTAACAATGGCATCCGTTGGTTTGATTGAGATTTCAGAAATCTGACCTCCTTCATATTCTACTTCCTCCCATAGGTACAAGGTGCTTAATGCAAGTGCCATCCCAGAGGGACAGTTCATTGACAGCAAGAAGGCTTCTGAGAAGCTCCTTGGATCCATCGATGTGGACCACACCCAGTACAAATTTGGTCACACCAAGGTACAAATGCTGCTTGGCTGATGTACTGTGCTTGCAATACCTGACAATTATGTACTGCAACATTGTATTTCTCAAGGTGTTCTTCAAAGCTGGGCTGCTGGGACTCCTGGAGGAGATGAGAGATGACAAGCTGGCACAGCTCATCACCCGCACACAAGCCATGTGCAGGGGTTACTTGATGAGAGTGGAGTTCAAAAAAATGATGGAGAGGAGGTAGATACTTACACTTATTTGGCCTGCTGGGCCAATCCTCATCAGATACCAATGACATGAATAAAACTGAAAATAAGCTGCTTCTTGCCAAATTTCATTTATTTCTCATTAATTCAGTTTACCAATATGGATGGTTTTGGGAGTATACCCTAGCAGTAGATGAAGCTGTATATTCCCAATTTAGGAAAAAAATTGTCGTGTTTAACTTTTATCACCCTTTGTACTAATTTTTGCTAAATTTAGTAAATGGCTACATTATATGTATGTCCAGAAGCCAGCTATCTAGTCTAAGCTAATTATTTTAGGTCACCATTATAATAAAAGGTGAGAAACACATACTTCTAGCACAAGACAAGTATCCTCTTCCCTTGGATAACTTTCATGAAAGGGACCAAGTCAGCTTCTGGAGGTGTTCCTTTTCTTTGGCCATGAAAGTAAGCCAAACATCTGGACTTCAAAACTGTCCATACAGGTTGACAACCTACATCACATTAGGAAGTTCCCTTCAGAGATATATATTTTTAATATACATTAAATATACTAAAAATTAATAATAAATATATATTTAATAATATATAATAAATTTATTACCTTTCAGAGAGTCCATCTTCTGTATCCAGTACAATGTTCGTGCATTCATGAATGTCAAGCACTGGCCCTGGATGAAGCTGTTCTTCAAGATCAAGCCCTTGCTGAAGAGTGCAGAATCTGAGAAGGAGATGGCCAACATGAAGGAAGAGTTTGAGAAAACCAAGGAAGAGCTTGCAAAGTCTGAGGCAAAGAGGAAGGAGCTGGAGGAGAAAATGGTTTCTTTGCTGCAGGAGAAAAATGATTTGCAGCTCCAAGTGCAGGCTGTGAGTATTGCTAATGTTCTTGGCTTGTAATGTCCAGTGTAAAATGATCCTAAATGTCTCAGTAACAGACACATTATCCCAAAACAGTATTTATTTTCAAAAAATACACGCATTTTATAAAATAGGAGGGAAAACCACATAGAAAAGCTAAGCTGAAATCTACAAATATTAATAAATTTGCAATGAATTATTGCAGCTGGTTCCTAACACTTTTAAATCAGGAGAGAAGTAATCAATTTCTAGTTAGTAAATACTACAGTTTACAGTATGACATTTTAAATCATACATGACAACTTACAGCAGCAATTATCATGTCTTTATAAAACTTTATATACTATATTATTTTGATATGTTATCATCTGATCAATGAAGGTTGTCTGGAGGGCCTATTAACACCTTTTATTTGGAGAATCACAAATGAATTCAGGTGCAGTAGGAGGAGCTGAGAGTGTCAGGCATTTCTCTAGCATTTATGGTCCCTGTCTCCTCAGGAAAAACAGTGATGAAAGTGGAGTCCTCCCCTTTTTCCCTGGAAGTAAAAAGGTAGCAACAACCATCCCCTTAAAACTGTCTTTACCTGCAAGGATTAGGATTCAGCTGACCCCATTTTGATGTCTACAGTCTAAGTCTACATCTGAGCTAGTAGCCTCAGGTTCTCTTCATCTTCAGCAATAAGAAATTCATCCTTTTAGAGTACGATACAACTAATCCAAAAATATAAATTTTTTTGGTTGAATGGACTGTATCTCGATATCATGGCAGATATCTAAGTCTACATTAGACAAACCCCAACCTAGATATCTTGCTGAGCTGTAAAGAGTCTTCTGCCTAGATGGTATCATTGTTCTTTACTAGAACAAAGCAGAAAAGAAAAAGCAGTATGCAGAAAATAAAGATTACTTCTTACTAACTTTCATCTTAGAATGCATGTAAATTCAGGTAATTGATACTGCCCTGGTAAACACCACTCTCCCTTCCAAACTGTTCTTCTTGACCACAAGGGCTCGAAACATGCTTGATTCAACTAGTGCCTTTGAATGATTAATGTTAATGATCTTAACATAAAATTTTACCAAAACTAAAAATTAAATTCATGCTCAGTAAATCTTTTGGGGAGAGTTGTAACAAGATTTTCTCAGCTGAATGTTGGAGTTTTTAGCATTTAGGTTTTAAACACCGGACACTAAACAATCTGCCTACATGGTGCTATTCAGTAGAACCCTATGCCAGTTTCCAGTCCAGTCAAATGCAACCCAAGTAAAACAACAAAAAGATACAAGGGAGATACTGTCATATCTGATTTCAGGCTCTGTCTTCCAAATAATGTTGGAGTTGCATCAGCAGTTAAAGAGTTTAAAAAAAAAATGCTAAGAGCCTTTATTTATAGTGTGATAATATATCCCTTTATTTTCTGGGCTGGAGACAGTCCAAAACAAATAGATACTCTTATAATAATGAGTTTTAACTACAAAGGACATTGTAAAGCTGCTTTGAAAATAAGAATTCCTTGTTTGACAATCAGTAAGAAAAAATAATTACTTGAAAACTATTTTATTTAAACGAATCATGTGTAGGAAGCTGATGGTTTGGCTGATGCTGAGGAAAGATGTGACCAGCTCATCAAAACCAAAATCCAGCTGGAAGCCAAAATTAAGGAGCTGACAGAGAGAGCAGAAGATGAAGAAGAGATGAATGCTGAGCTGACAGCCAAGAAGAGGAAACTGGAGGACGAATGTTCAGAGCTGAAGAAAGATATTGACGACCTTGAGTTAACGCTGGCCAAGGTTGAGAAAGAAAAACATGCCACCGAAAACAAGGTAATGAGGCAGAACCTGTCAGTCACAGTCCAGAAAAGAGCACTGCGCTGTTAGAGGACTTGTGTATCTACTTCCTTTATTTACACTTGCTGCCTTCTTCTCAAAGGTGAAAAACCTCACAGAGGAGATGGCAGCCCTGGACGAGACCATTGCCAAGCTGACCAAAGAGAAGAAAGCCCTCCAAGAGGCCCATCAGCAGACACTGGACGACCTGCAGGCAGAAGAGGACAAAGTCAATACTCTGACCAAAGCCAAGACTAAGCTGGAGCAGCAAGTGGACGATGTAAGCACACAGGCATAGAGCAAGAATAAGTCCAGGTACGGAGTTCGACCTGGCTGGCAGAGCACTGATGGTCTTGTTCTTTGTAGCTGGAAGGGTCCCTGGAGCAAGAGAAGAAACTGCGCATGGACCTTGAGAGAGCTAAGAGGAAACTCGAAGGAGACCTGAAGCTGGCCCATGACAGCATAATGGATCTGGAAAATGATAAGCAGCAGCTGGATGAGAAACTGAAGAAGTAAGTGTGGCTGTGGGGCACCTGAGTGCTGGGCTGGTGCACTTGTCTTCTTCCTTTGAGCTCTAACACGGTTTGCTTTGCCCAAAGGAAAGACTTTGAAATCAGCCAGATCCAGAGCAAAATCGAGGATGAGCAAGCCCTGGGCATGCAACTACAGAAGAAGATCAAGGAGCTGCAGGCAAGTCTCTGTTCCTTCTCTTCTGCCCTTCAGAAAGACATCAGGTAGGAGGAGGGCACGGGTGTGAAGGGTCCCTAATGTTCCCCAGGCTCGCATTGAGGAACTGGAGGAGGAAATTGAGGCAGAGCGAACTTCTCGGGCAAAAGCAGAGAAGCATCGGGCTGACCTCTCGCGGGAGCTAGAGGAGATCAGCGAGCGCCTGGAAGAAGCAGGAGGGGCTACCGCAGCTCAGATTGAGATGAACAAGAAGCGTGAGGCAGAGTTTCAGAAGATGCGTCGCGACCTCGAAGAGGCCACGCTGCAGCACGAAGCCACAGCTGCTGCCCTGCGGAAGAAGCACGCGGACAGCACAGCTGAGCTTGGGGAGCAGATCGACAACCTGCAACGAGTGAAGCAGAAGCTGGAGAAGGAGAAGAGTGAGCTGAAGATGGAGATTGACGACTTGGCCAGTAACATGGAGTCTGTCTCCAAAGCCAAGGTACTGAAATATTTCTTTGTAGTAATTCAAACATAATCAAGTATTTATATTTTAACATGGGAATTTAAGTTAGTCATACTTTAAAGTAAATAGTTGCACTTTATAGCTTGAATTTGAGTTTATATATTTCAGTATTAGTATAATAATATTTTTGTATTGTATCCTTTGGGTGAGAGCTAAAAAACCTCACCTGAAGCACCTAGCCTAAGGAACTATAGAGTCTCATTGCTTGATTCAGAATGTTATGATAGTGAAATGAAAGACACTGACCTTATCATTTTTTTACTTTCTTCTAAAATAAAAATTACTCCTACCCTACCCTTTCCTTTTTATTCTTATTTTTCCTTTCCTCCCTTAAATACTTCAATGACATAATCTCTAAGAGCCAAACAGAAATTTAAAATAATTCCTCATGTTACAGTGTCCCATCATCCTTTTTATCTATTGTAAAAATGGAGTGTACATTTAACAAATTATACAAATGTTGGAATTAGAGATGCAAATTTCATAGAAAGATATATTAGTTAACTGAGACAGTTTGACTTTACTTCTAAATCATTGGCTTCTTTTTTTGCCCTTCGTAAGACTTCAGATTCTCTGTAATTATGTATTGAACTACCAATCATCTTTCATTCCATTCTTCATGCAAATAGGCAAATCTGGAGAAGATGTGTCGCTGCCTAGAAGATCAACTCAGTGAGATTAAGACAAAGGAGGAGGAACAACAGCGCACAATTAATGACATTAGTGCTCAGAGAGCTCGGCTACAAACAGAATCTGGTGAGACATTTATGGTTTTTAAGAGAACACTGTATATGACTTTAAAAAAAAAGGCTTTAAGAAAAAGGTCAAAAACAACTGGGGGTCTTGATGGAAACTAAATTGAACATGAAACAGAAATGTGCTCTTGTGGCAAAGGCGGCCAACAAAATCGTGAGCTGCATTAGGAGAAGTGTTACCAGCAGGTTAACATAGGGTGTTCCTTCCCGCTACTCAGAACAGGTGAGGCCACACTTGGAGTGCTGTATCCCATGCTAGGCTCCCCAGTACCAGAGAGATACAGACATCCTGGAGCAGGACCAATAACATGTTTAAGGGACTGGAACACCCAGTCACTGGAACAACCTACCCAGGTGTGTGGTAGAGTCCCCATTACTGGAGGTTTTCAAGACATGACTGGCCAGGATGCTAGATAATCTCATCTAGGCTCCCTTTCCCATGAAAGGTTGCACCAGGTGACCTTTCAAGGTCCCTTCCAACCTAGACTGTTCTATGGTTCTATGACTGGAGCTTCAAAGAAGAATTAATCCATCTCATAACATAGACTTCATCCTCCTGCTTCCCAGGAGACATTCAGGAGAGGACAGAGATATACTTGAGTACATACAACATATAGTACTCATTCTGTAAGCTCGAGGCTTGAAGTGACCACTGGACTGAGTGCAAACATACAGTAAGACTACTCAGATATTGGACAAGGGGGCATGATGTATCTCATTTCTAGCCTCTAAGATAAATACTTTGGCATACTAAGAGTTATAGATAGATATTGGTGATTAAGATTCCATGAAAGAAATAAAATTGTTTAACTCAATATATTTTTTATGCACACTTAATTATCAAGGTTAACACTTTTAAGTAAGTCATAAAAAGTCCTTTACTCATCTGAACTCTCCCAGGTGAATATTCACGCCAGGTGGAAGAGAAGGATGCTCTGATCTCACAGCTGTCAAGAGGCAAGCAGGCATTTACCCAACAGATTGAGGAACTCAAGAGGCACCTAGAGGAAGAGATAAAGGTGAGAAGGCTTTCCATAGTCCAACTTATCCATTGGATTCCTCCTGTCTAGGAGGAACTTCAGATACATATGAAATTACAGAATCAGCAGATGAGAGGGAGAAAAAAAATACTTCGGTAATGCAATGCAAGTCTTCCCATATCAGCTTTGCTCCCTCTTCCCAACAGTCTATTCACTAATTCTTTTGCAAATTCCCATCTCTTCCTTTCTCACTCGGTAGCTTGCCATCATTCTCACAGCAGAATAATCCAGTGTCCATCAACTTGGGGATTTCCCAGGATACTTCCATCCATTGTTGCACTACTATTTTTCACCCAGGCCAAGAACGCCCTGGCCCACGCCTTGCAGTCAGCACGCCACGACTGTGACTTGCTCCGGGAACAATATGAGGAGGAGCAGGAAGCCAAGGGGGAGCTGCAGCGTGCCCTGTCCAAGGCCAACAGCGAAGCGGCCCAGTGGAGAACCAAATATGAGACGGACGCTATTCAGCGCACGGAGGAGCTGGAGGAGGCCAAGTACGTGGGGAATGCGGGGAAGGCTGGCAGAGACTAAGAATGGAAATTGGAGGAGGCCGCTGTGATATTGTCAGGAAGAAGTCGGTGTTCTGCTTTGGGGTGGGGTGCCAGGAAGAGAGAAAATATAACCGAGAGCAGGTATGCATTGGGGAAAAGCAGAAGCAGCAAAGCTCTTCAGACGAAGAATAGCAGAGAGCTGCTAGTGTGAATAGCAGAGTGAATAGCAGACAGTGAACTGTTGTAGCCCAGGATTGAGACATAGAAATACAGTGGCTGGCTGGGAGAGATCCTGCTCCTCTGTGTAAATGGGGATTACGTACTACCAAGTGGCTAAGTGCGCTCCTGTGAAAAACGTACTGGCTGCACACCGCAGGCTCCCATTTGCTTCCTCACCTGGACCCGTGCTTTTCACCTTGCAGGAAGAAGCTGGCACAGCGCCTGCAGGATGC